AAAAAAAAAAAAAAAAAAAACTTTGTCCATCTACGGGAGAAAAACAAACCTGTTTTTCTCAGAAATACGGGTTTAACATCAGGAAAACTTTCATTTGTTTCTTTCAAGTTGTTCAACATGTCTTACAATGTACAGTGTAATTCATGTCTTCTGATTTGTTTTGTCTGTTTTTAATTCATTTTACTTAAAAAAAATTTTTGGTTGCGTTACATTTTTTTTTTTTTTTTTTCAGTGAGAATTAGTTTAAAGTCAGACTTTAAAAAGCCAGAATTCTGAGTTTATGTTTGAATTTGAAAAATCTGAAGTGTGAGGTTTAACATCAGACTTAAAAAAGGTGGAATTCTGAGTTTAAAGTAAGACTTTAAAAGTCTGAAGTCAGAGTCTAACATCAGACTTTTTTTTTAAATTCTAAGTTTAAAATCAGTCTTTAAAAATTAAAAATCCTGATTTTAAGGTTGGACTTTAATTAGTATTCAGAGTTTAATCCCAGACTAATAATGGTCAGAAAACCGTGTTTAAAGTCATAAATAGTCTGAATTCTGAGTTTAACTTGTGACTTAGTTTAATGTCAGACTTTAAAAAAAATAAAAATTCTGAGGTTAAAGTCAGACTTAAAGAAGTCAGAATTCTGAGCTTTTGTTTTTGAGGAAAATACATATTACTCTGCAAAACTCTGGTTCTGTTTAGTAAGTTTTCTTTTTCTCGCAGCTGCTAAAGATCTTTCATACAGTAAACAAAATCACAACATTTGAATACTGAGATTAAGATTTTAGATGTTTTTTTGGTTGCTTTAATGTTCCTGACCTTGTGTCTGTGAGCAGATGCACGGCAAAGTACACTTCCTCCTCGGCTACGCTGATCAGGAGGATTATAAAATTATCATGAACCTGACCGACAGCTACTGGGGAAACGTGACGGTGTCGCCGACCAACCATAACGAACTCCTCATCACTCAGATGGACAAAATGTGAGTTCACAGCTGCACTAACACACAACACAGCAGCTTCTGAAAACGTCTGAGTTTCTTTGAAATCATTATCAGTCTATTTTTTAATTTGTGTTGTGTCTTTTTCTTTTGAGTTTAAGGTGTTTTACATCTCTGTCAGGTTGCTTTATATCTGTTTAATTGGGTTTATGTCTCGTTTCAGTTGTTTTGCGTCTCTGTACTCAATTTGTGATTCTTTGGACTTGTATTGCATCTCTTTTTTGTGATACTTTTTTCTTTTTTCATTGACATTTCTTCTTTAATTCATATTTTTAAATTGCAGTCCTATTTTTTTAAAAAAAATTTAGTCTCTTGTTGGTCATTTTATGTCTCTTTTTTAAAAATTTGTTTTACTTCTCATCTGTAATTTGTTTAATGTGTACTTCTTTTTTTTTTTTTACATTGATTTATTTAATTAGTTTTATGTCTTTCTTTAGGCATTTTGTACCTCCACTTGTTTCACGTCTCTTTTTACATCAAGTCATGTCTCTTGGTCTTCATTTGTTTGAAATTGTTTAAATATTTCACCCTCTGCCTTCAGTCTACGAGTTAGATATATGACATCTGTCTCATGATAACATCTGTAGATTATATTATTCTCATAATTCAGATAACAACTGAGGAAAGATATAAGGTACAAGCTGCTAATACATTTTTGACTATATTCTGCTCCTGGTTTCCTTCATTCTAAATCCTGTTCTAATGTTTCGCAGACGATGCTCTGTTTTATCTCCATAATAAATCCTTTTGAAATAACTTGACGGCAGAGTTGTGAAAGTTGATGTACTTAAATTTCCGTCACAACATGACATATATGCAGCTTACTGAGAAAATATTTGCGGTTTACAGAGAAAATAGTGACAGATCGACTGATAACTATCGATTTTTAAAGTCACCTCTCCGTCTGATGTTTTTCCCAGAAATGGAACTTGTCTTTTCTCGAAAATGAAGTTGAAGTTCGAGGGAAGCACTGCAAGTGCGGCATGTAAGTTTCCTTATTTAATTTTAAATACAGCAGGGCAGGTCAGCTGACCGACAGGTTTCAAATTAAAAGCCTCATTTTTAATGATTTAATGATTTATTGTCTTGAAATTATCAGTCAGTTTTAATTTATTTTACATATATCTCGTATGTTTAGATTCTCCTTTGAAGTTCTGCTATGACTCTTTTAAGATGTTTTAAGAATATATTTTTTAAATTTTTTTTAGATACCTTTTTTCAGTTGTTCTGCAACTTGTGTCTTTTGAATAGTTTTAAGTCTTCATTTAAGTTGTTTTAAGTGTCTTTTTAGTCGTTTTACACCACTCTAGTCATTTTGTTTCTTTGAAGTTGTTTAAGTTGTTCTTTGTCTCTTTTGAGTTGTTTGCACCTCTCTTAGTTAGTTTTACTTGTCTTTTAAGTTGTTTTATAATTTATTTTGCATTTCTTTTCTTAATTTTTTGTTTCTATTGAAGTTGTTTTGCGTCCCCCCCCAAATGTGTTTTCTAACCCTTTTTCATTTTTATTGTATGTCGGCATGTTTATAGTCATTTTGCATCTGTTTTAGGTGGTTTTGTGACCATCTGAATTTGTTTTACATCTTTATTTTTTTCATGTTGTTTTCATCTCTTTTTTCATTTTGTTTTACAACTCCTTTTAAATTAGTTTATCTGTCTTTTTTTAAGCAGTTTTCATCTCTTTTAAAATCGTTTTACTTTTTTAATTTTCTGTTTCCTTTAAGTTATTTTACATCTAATTTTTAATTAGTTTCTGTTGCTTTTAATTTTTAGAATAGAATGCCTTTATTGTCACTATACACAAGTACAATGAGATTAAGAGCAGCTCCTTCAGTGCCATACATAATAAGTACAAAATAAAGAGCAAAAAATGAAAAATAGAAGAGATTTAAGTACAAAAAAATCTGATAAGTTATATATACGTTATATATATAATTAATAATATATAAGTTATATATATAATTGGTTTTATGTCTCTTTTTATTTTTATGTAATGTCTCTGAAAAGTTGTCTTACGTCTCTTTTTAATATTTGTTTTAGGTCTCTTTTGAGTTGTTTTGTCTTTTTACTTATTTTACATCTGTCTTAAGTCTTATTAAGTCATTTTACATCTCATCAGTCTCCTTGTCTTCAGTTGTTTGAAGTCTTTTTACCATTTTATTTTCCAGACATTTCGTCTGTCTATGAACCAAATCTTTCTCAGAAGGAGAAGGTTGTAGTTTTTAATTAAATTTCTCTGACTTTGTTCCTGTTCCCAGTACCCAACATGACTCTGGACTACCAGTTTCTGCCTACCTGCGATGGTTGTATGCTCGCCCTCGTCAACAGCTCTGCTAAAAACCTAAGGAAATTCTTAGCGGACATGGAACTCAAACACACAACTGACGCCGACGAGATCTATGGCCGCGCCTTTTATCTGATGGGTAGGAAGGAACCAACCCCAGACAGAAAGCTACTTGTTCTATATCCAAAACATTTGCCCATTTTCATCTTTTGTTTGCAGCTAACGAGACGATCGTGAAGGACTCGGTTCTGAAACAGTTCAAGAAGCAGGCGCACTGCCTCGGGTTCACCGGAGAACCGGACTTCCACTACAATCCAGAGAAAAGTGCTGCACTTTAAACTCCTCTGCTTAAACCATGAAACCACTGTCAACTGTTGATGTGTGATTTAAGACAGAACTGAACTGTTTGTCTTTCTCTCTGCAGGCTTCTGTAAGGAAGGCGAAGGCATCACGCTTCCAGACTTCTAATGTGAGAACAAACCTGTTTGTCAGACACTGAGGAAGTCAAGAGCCAACAAGCATCATTAAGTATTCTACGTGTGGTCTGTTTTCATGATGATGTAATAAAATGCTTTAACACCGACGTTTTCAAACTGTGATGCGCCTCCTCTGCACTCACCTCATGAATGAATTAAGACACTTTAAGAAGCAGAAAAAAAAAATGCAGATCCAACCAAGTGCTACCCACAAACTCAGCAAGTTTAGCTTGTTCATACATACCAGACAATGTTGCGTACCCTCAGAGGCTCTGGGGGATAGCGCCGCCTGATGGCTTGCAGGCGGCATAACTACTGAGGTCCAGAGCAGCAGAATGTATGAGCCTGTGAGCCTGAGCCCAGGGCAAAGAAACCCTAACATTACAGATACGAATGTTTCACAGCAGAAGTGAAGCTAAAGTCATGTGTAAAAAGACAGACAACTATGAGGCCTGCTTGACCTGTAACTGATGATTTGTCTGTATTTCCAAAACTTGTAGCCAAACACTTAGATTTTTCGTGAAAAATGTCGATTAGCGTTACAAAATGTTGTCACCAGTGTTTGATGACGTCCAAGATGACAAATGTCCTGTCAACAACCCAAAGATGTTCATTCCCCTGTCATAGAGGAGGGGGAAAAAAACTGAAATGTTCACACTGAAGAAGTTTCCATTTAAAGAATTTGAACATTTTATAGTGACAACTTACTCAAACTAATAAATCACTTATTAAAATATCGACAGGTCTAATACGAATACAGTTGTTGGTAAGTACAGTGTTAGTGCAATAAACTGCATTGTGTCAGTCAGTATTTTGATTTGTACTAGAGATGCGCCGATCCGATACCGGGTATCGGTATCGGGCCGATACTGGACGAAATTACGGTATCGGAGGATTTACTTCACAGTGGTAACTGGCCGATCCGATACCGCCACACACACACAATCCTGCCTTCCGACACACCCACGTGTTCGTCTGCTCATTGGCTACAAGTGTACAGCTTCAGAGAGTGTCTGCAACCGGACTGGTCGAATCTACAAGAGTGGAAGTTGTGCGACTGTCTGAGACACTCCATTGGCCCTTCACGCTGTCACTCACCCCCAAAGCCCTCCTACTGGCCAAACTAAGTGTCAATCAAAAGCTGAGCCGTCCGTCGAGCTGCCTGTAGCGCTTTCAGCGCGATCTGAAATAGATTCAGCTTGATTGTGCCAGAAGAAATGAATGACATCAACCGGAGCTGATCTCAAGCTGGGAAGACATTACTTCAGAGTTTGTGCCTTTGAGGATCTAATACGTTTTACGGACAGAATTATTTTACGGGATTATGTTCACTGGTTGTGTCCGGACAGAATGAGACCAAGCTGGTGAGGAATGAGCGATGTTTGAGCTGCAGAGAGCCTTCAAAAGTAAGAAAACTCGGATTTTAACATGTTGCTTTTCTGTACAAAAACCTCTTTGTGTCAACGCTGTGGTTGCTGCAGGTCAAAAAGGTTTATATCATCGGAAAGAGGAGACTCTGAGCTTTCATTTGATGTGTATGTTGTCGGAAATGTGATTGTGGAGCATGCGCACATCTGGCTGTAATGTGTTTGGAAAGTGGTCACGTCCCGCCGGCGGGCCGTGGGAGCGGTTTTAAATTTGAAGTATATTTTGAGTGAAATCACCCTTTAAAACTACGTCGCACACCCGAACTAGAAGCCGTGCACTTATCCGGCCGTAGCAGACGAGTCCAGCCTCTCCGTGCAGCCCTCTACCAGCAGCCTGTACGGGGCTCTCCGGCTCTGCAGACAAAACCTTCCTATTGGATCCCATCCCGCAGCAGGTCACAACGTTTCCGGCCTCATTTACTACTGCTCATGCGCAGAGCCGAGAGCGGCTATCAGTGGTACTATTATTTAGTACCAAGTTTTGGTAATTTAACCTTTAAATTGCAGCTTAATGTTGCTGTGTCATTTTGATCTGTTCTAAATATGTGAATGGCACTGAGTGCACACTGTAGTCTGATTGCAGCTCAAATAAAGCAGCTACAGTTTCAATGTGAGACATGCTTTTGGCTATTTTTTCCTTTCTTAGAAAAGCAAAGTCTGTGCTTTAATAGTATGAGGCTTTTGATAAAGCCACCTTAAACAAATGTATCCATGCAAATAAGGTATTTCCAAAGAAGTTTAGGAGGAGAGATGGTATCGGTATTGGTATCGGGATCGGCAGATACTCAAAGTTGAAGTATCGGTATCGGAAATCAAAAAGAGGTATCGGTCCATCCCTAATTTGTACTATAAACATCATCACCAACGCTTTTTGCACTCCTGCAGCTCCACATCATCAAACTCTCACTGTCAGGACGATGCATTCATTGTGCTAGTCGTGGTCAGGTTCCCACGCTGGACCCCATCTGAAGATAAAACTGATTTATCTTGGTCTCATCTGACCAAAGAATGTGCTTCCAACATTCACCTGGCTTCTTTTCATGTTTTCAAGTTTCATCTTGCAGTTTTGGGGCAAAACCTCAAACAAGAGTTTTTTCTTGGAAGCCTGAGTTGTCCCAGAAACTTGAATTTCCACTGATATCCCCTGTGCCAACACTGAAGCAGTCTGTTTTTCACCGCTAGTATGTCAAAGTGGCCCGATATCATTTTTAGGAGGACGACCACTGCGGCTCTGATTAGCAGTACTATGGCTCCTTTTATACCTCCTGATTACTGCAGTAGCTTCGTTTCCACTTATTATTTGTTGGTCACCAAACATCGTGCATCATTTTTAATCTTTGTGAAGTCTTACGATCAGATTTTTCAGTTCCTCTGGCAACTCTATTCCAAGTGGAGCCATGACGTGCAGATAGACACAGCTCAAAGGTCCAAAACTGAGAAAGTTCTGCTGTTCACAGCTCATTTTACAACAATTACACTGATTGGAAATCACAGGTTTTCTAACTTGTGTGTCACTGCTCACTTCTGCTGCATTGGCATTTTGTTTTGCGGCCTGTAATTGCAATATAGCCTTTGTAATGTTTTTTTTTTTTTTTGTCAATGTACATAAATGCAAATACTCTACGATGCGGCTGTTATTGTAGCAAAGCTTTTCGTTATGTGTATGGAGAGTTGTGTGTCTGTATCTCAATCTGTGTGTCTGTTGTGAGATTTGTCAATGTGTAAAAAGATCTGTCAATGCGTACAATGATATTAATAGATCAAAAGTCTAGGTATTTGGCTACAAGTTCTGGAAATACAGACAAATCATCAGTTACAGGTCAAGCAGGCCTCACCATTCTCTGTCTTTTTACACATGACTTTTGCTTCACTTCTGCTGTGAGAGATTCACATCTGTAACTTCAGGGTTTCTTTGCCCTGAGCTCAGGCTCACAGGCTCGCTCATTCTGGCTACAATTATGCTGCCTGCAAGCCATCATGAAAGCTTTTGCTCAGCGACCCACAAACTCAGAGTAGGGTGTGTCTGCAGAGCCGGAGGCAGCACTCTCAGAACCGCAGCTTCTTCGACAGCCGCACTTTGAGAGCCTTTTTTTCCAAAACAGCGCCACCTACCACAATCGCCAAAATGCATGATTTAGTTATGAAGGATGATTTCTCTCAAAATATAGGTATAATTTAAAAGGTTAATTCATTCCACACAACGTAGGACTTCATGTCCAAGTACCTACAGTTTCAACGTTTTTTGGTTGTTTTTTTTTCATCCAAATAGTGCTTTTTAACTAACAAGTTAAGGTTTGAAAGGTTTATTCCAACCAAAATATTACTTATTACAATGACAATGACTTGGTTGCTAAAGCTTGCATGTGAGCAAATGGTGTAATTAACATACTTATGAACACAGCAGCAGATTCCATTATGATTTTACCTGTTAATAAGTTTGTTAATTACACCATTTGCCCAAATGCAAGTCTTAGCAACCAAGTTATTATCATTGTAATAAGCAGTACAGGCAATTGCCAGCATCGTAAAGAGCTTTGAGTACCACTAAGGTAAAAAAGCGCTATATAAATGCAGACCATTTACCAATCAAGTTTTTATGGCCTGATTTGATCCAAGTCATTATTTACGATCTGCCAATACTGAGTTCCACTCTAATGCCATTTGCTTCAATGGTACACAGTTGAAGTACATTAAAGTGATTAAAATCCGTCCCATGTATATATTTGACAACCAGATAGTTCTGCAACACATGAAGAAAAATTTTGCGTTTCTGCATCCAAGTTTTTCCTTCATGTTACGTAGGTGCTGATGAATCCTGACGTAAAGCTCCAGTGCCTCCATAAACACCAGGAGAGAAGGAGTCGTACAGTTTGAAAACCTTGATGTTAAAGCGTTTTATTACATCATTACACATTTGAGGTTGAATGACACTTGTTGTCTCTTCACTTCCTCAGTATCAGTGTTTATTGTCACGTTGGAGGTTTTCACGCCTCAATGTTTTCGCCATCCGGACAGAAACCTGCAGAGAGAAAGACAAACAGCTCAGTTCTGTCTAAAATCACACATCAACAGTTCACACAGATTTCAGCTTGAGATTTTCAGTTTGAGCAGAAGAGTTTAAAAGTGCAGCACTTGTCTTTTCATCGTAGCGGAAGTCCGGTTCTCCAGAGAACCCGAAGCACTCCACCTGCTTGTTGAAGTGTTCCATATCTGAGTCCGTCACGCTCGTCCTGTTGGCTGCAAACAAAAAGACATAAATGGACGAATGTTTTGGATATAAAACAAGTAGCTTCCTGCCTCAGACTGGTTCCTTCCTACCCATCAGAAAAAGAGAGTGAGAGCTGATGGCCCCTGGTCCAACTGTGATGTTGACATTCAGCCTTTCAAGGAAGTTCTGCATGTCTGCGATTGTGTAGTTGACGCTGAGAGACAGACAGCCTTCGCAGCTCGGCAGAATTTGGTAATCTCCAGAAACTCCAGGATCTGAAAACAGAGACAAAGTCAGAAACTGCCCAGAGGGTCCACCATATTCAGGGCAGATGATCGGGGTTGGGTGCTATGCCCACTGGGTGGTAGGCAGGAGCGGGTGTCCTGGCATACCACCCCCTGGTGGCATAAACTAGCTCTGGGGACGTCACCTCACTGGCAGGGAAGGAGCCTGAGCTGGTGCGGGAGGTGGAGCATTACCGGCTAGATATAGTTGGGCTCACCTCCACACATAGCAAGGGCTCCGGAACCAAACTCCTGGAAAGGAGTTGGACTCTCTCCTTTCCAGAGTTGCCCATGGTGAGGAGAGCCAGGCGGGTGTGGGGATACTCACAAGCCCCCGGCTGATTGCCGCCTCGTTGGAGTTCTCCCCAGAGAGCAAGAGGGTCACTTCTCTGCGACTGCGTGTTGCAGAGGGGAAAACTCTGACAGTCATTTGTGCTTATGTACCAAACGGCAGTTCAGAGGATTTGGCCTTCTTGGAGTCTCTGAGTGGTGTCCTGAAAGGGGTGCCCCCTGGGGACTTCATAGTTCTCCTGGGGGACTTCAATGCTCACGTGGGCAATGACGGTGAAACCTGGAGGGCCGTGATTGGGAGGAATGGCCCGCCTGATCTGAACCTGAGCAGTGTTTTGTTTTTGGACTTCTGTGCTAGCCACGGATTGGCCATAACAAACATCATGTTCAAACATAAAGTTGCTCATAAGTGTACCTGGTACCAGAGTACCTTAGGCCAAAGGTCAATGATCGACTTCGTAGTAGTATCATCAGATGTTTTGGACACTCGGGTGAAGAGAGCAGCAGAGCTGTCAACTGATCACCACCTGGTGGTGAGTTGGATCCGATGGCGGGGAAGGCTGCTGGACAGACCCAGTAAACCCAAAGGTGTAGTGAGGATGAACTGGGAATGTCTGGCGGAGCCCCCTGTCCGAAGGGTTTTCAATTCCCACCTCTGGAAGAGTTTCTTCTACATCCTGGGGGAAGTTGGGGACATGGAGTCAGAGTGGGCCATGTTCAAAGCCTCCATCGCAGAAGCAGCCGTTAGGAGCTGTGGCCAGAATGTCACTGGTGCCTGTTGTGGCAGCAACCCCAAAACTCACTGGTGGACACCGGGGGTGAGGGAGGCCGTCAGGCTGAAGAAGGAGACCTTTCGGGCCTGGCTGGCTCAGGGGTCTCCTGAAGCAGCAGGCAGGTACTGGCTGGCCAAAAGGGCTGCAGCGGTGGCGATCATGGAAGCTAAAACCTCAGGTGTGGGAGGAATTCAGGGAGGCTACAGAGAAGGACTTTTGGTCGGCCTTGAAGAAGTTCTGACAAACCGTCCGACGCCTCAGAAAGGGGAGGTAGGCATTGGCCGAGGCTGTGTACAGCCGGGGAGGAGAACTGCTGACCCAGACTGGGGATCTTGTTGAGCAGTGGAAGGAGTACTTCGAGGAATTCCTGAACACAGCAAACATGTCCTCTGCTGAGGGGGCAGAGCCTGAAGGCTCGGGGGTTTCTGTGTCCATATCTGTGGTAGAGGTCGCCGAGGTAGTTAAGAAGCTCCTCAGTGGCAAAGCACCAGGTGTGGATGAGATTTGTCCCGAGATGGTTGAAAGCTCTGGACATTGTTGGACTGTCATGGCTGACACGTCTCTTCAGTGTCGCATGGGCATTGGGTACAGAACCGATGGAGTGGCAGACGGGGTGGTAATTCCCATTTTTAAAAAGGGGGACCAGAGAGTGTGTTCCAATTACTGGGGCATCACACTTCTCAGCCTCCCCAGCAAAGTTTACTCTACATTGCTGGAAAGGAGGCTTCGAACAATTGTCAAACCTCAGATTCAGGAGGAGCAATGCAAATTCCATCCTGGTCGTGGGGGATACTGAGGCAGTATGGGCTACCAGGCTCACTGCTACGAGCCATTCGGTCCCTGTACAACCAAAGTGTGAGCTGTGTCCGCATTCTCTGCATTAAGTCGGACACCAGTGGGTGTTGGACTCCGCCAGGGCTGCCCCTTGTCCCCAATCCTGTTTGTGGTCGTCGTGGACAGGATCTCAAGGCGCAGTCCAGGTGAGGAGGGTGTCCGGTTTGGGGACCTCAGGATCGCGTCTCTGCTTTTTGCAGATGACGTGGTACTGCTGGCTTCATCAGACCATGACCTTCAGCACTCACTGGAGCGGTTTGCAGCCGAGTGCGAAGCAGCGGGCATGCGGCTCAGTACCTCCAAGTCCGAGGCCATGGTCCTCGGCCAGAAACCAGTGGATTGCCATCTCCGGATGGGGGGGAGTTGCTTCCTCAAGCAAGAGAGTTTAAGTATCTCAGGATCTTGTTCACGAGTGATGGGAAAATGGAGCGCGAGATGGACAAGCGGCTCGGTGCGGCGTCAGCAGTAATGCAGGTGCTGTACTGGACCGTCAAGGTGAAGAGAGAGCTGAGTCGCAAGTTGAAGCTCCCGATTTGCCAGTCCATCTACGTCCCAACCCTCACCTATTGTCATGGGCTTTGGGTCGTGACCGAAAGAACGACATTGCGGATACAAGCGGCTGAAATAAGCTTCCTCTGCAGGTTGGCTTGGCTCAGCCTTAGAGACAGGGTGAGGAACTCGGACATCCAGAGGGAGCTTGGAGTAGAGCCGCTGCTTCTGCACGTCAAAAGGAGCCAGTTGAGGTGGTATGGACATCTGATTTGGATGCCTCCGGAGAGCCTTCCTCTGTAGGTCTTCAGAACACGTCCATCTGGGAGGAGACACTGGGGCAGACCCAGAACCTGCTGGAGGGATTATATCTCTTGGCTGGCCTGGGAACGCCTCGGGATCCCCCAGGAAGAGCTGGAAAGTGTTGCCGGGGGAAGGGAAGTCTGGAATGACCTGCTCCGCCTACTGCCCCCATGACCCAACCCCGGACAAATGGAAGAAAATGGATGGATGGGCATTTAAATAAAATCAGCATCATTCTCCATCTGAAACAGTATTTCATTCAAAGCCTGGAGGTGTGATGTCTGGAAACTGAATTGTAAAAACTAACTAAATCGTGCTGGATGACTGAAGATCAAAACAAATTAAAGAGAGCAATGTTAAATGAATTAAAAGGAGACATAAAACAAATGTTAAAAGAAAATTTAAAAAAAAAACTAATTCAGAGGTGCAAGGCAACGCAAAAGAGACTTGAATGACTCCAAAATAAAAAGAGCAGCAAAGTAACTAAAAATAGACATAAAACCAATTATGAGATGTAAAATGACTTAGAATGTCAAAGAAATTAACAGAAATGTGAAAGAAATTAAAAGAGAAAAAGAGAACTTAACCAGAATGTAATGAAAATATGCTTTTTTTTAAAAACTAAACACAAAACCTAAATTAGTCATAAAATGAGTAGAGATCAAATAAACTTATATGAGATATAAAATGACTACAAAGAGATGTAAAAAAAAAAACAAACAAACTTGAAAGGAACAACAAAACTGCTTCAGCAGAGACTTGAACTAATAAAAAAGTGGCATAAAATGCATTTTGAAAAAGACATACCACAATTTAAAAGAGGCATAAGTAAGTTTTAAAGAAACTGAGTAAAGAGATGCAAAACTACTAAAAATTGTAAAACTATTTTTATAAAGGTGAAATCAAGACTTCCAGACAGTTATTCATAGATCATTAAAATAAAACTGTCCTTTTATTTTGAAACATTACCTCATCGCCAGACTTACGTCGAATTCTTGCAGTGTTTCCTTCAACCGTCATGTTCACAGTTGAACTCGTGCAGACTCCGTTTCTGAGGAGAAAACAAAAAAGAAGGCAAAAAGATCACAAGCAGGTTTTCCCTTTTATCTTTCCTTACGTTGTTTTTGATTCAAATAAATTGAAAAAGACACATAGACGAAAATCATAAAACTTATTCAATAGAACACATAAAAGTGATTTAAAAAGTGACTTAAAACTATTTAAAAGAGACATAAGAGACATTAGGAGACGTAAAACAACTTAAAAGTGGCAACAGAAATGGCTAGAAATTTGTGAAACAACTTAAAATACAGCCAAAACAAATGTGAAAAGATATGAAAAGTAAATAAGAAAGAACTAATACTTTTTTTTTAAATAGATGTACAGCAAGTAAAACAAATAAAAAAGAGATTCCCTAATTTCAAAAAGGGAAATAAACTCATTTTAGAATAGATATTAAACTGATATGAATTTAAGAGATGTAAATCAAATTGAACGAGAGACATAAAACAAATTCTAAAAGCAACATAAATGACTAAAAAATACCTTAAAAAACAAGACGTAAAACAATTAAAATACAGATGAAACAAATTTTAACAAAGAGATGCAAATTGAAGTTTTACAAACAGACAAAACTAAAGAGGCGTGAAATGAATTTTTAAAAATGTCAGAATTGAACAGTTTAAAAGAAAAAGGAAGCCAAAATTAACTGAGTAGAACATGATAAGAACGAGAACTAAAAGAAATTTTAAAAACAGATTTAACAGGACTTAAAAAAAAAAAAAAAAAAGAAAAGAAAAAAGAAAACAAATTGCTGCAATCAGCTCACATTTTCTTATGATGAGCAACAACAAGATGACCGGGACCAGACGGTGAAGCCGTGATGTCCATCCAGTAGCTGCCATACGCTTTCTGGATGCCTTTAAAACCGGCAGTATCAGCGAAGCCCATCAGGATGTTCATTCTGCCGTACGCCTGCACACAAACACATCGTTCATCTATTTTCATACTATTGTCTTTTTTTCCAGAAGTTAAAACCTCATGAATGGCTGCTTGAAATGGAACTAAACGCAACGAGGGTTTTGCTAAAATAACATGGACTTTTCTCAAAAGCAAAAGTACAGACATAATGAAGATTCACATTAGAAAAAGTTTTAGGTTTACGTGTTTTAACATTTTCGTGGTAAAAGGAGGGAGTGGAAAAATTAAGTAGTGAGAAGGGAAAGAGAAGCTTCGAGATGGTTCCACTTTAATTTTTAATTGTTAATTCCGACTTTAATCTTAAGATTCGAACTTTTTCTAAGCCTGACTTCAAACAAAAAATTGAACTGTGTGGAAATAATGACCATCGTTACATTTGGAGGAGAAAGGGGGAAGCTTGCAAGCCTGAGAACACCATCCCAACTGTGAAGCACGGGGGTGGTAGCATCATGTGGGGTGTTTTGCTGCAGGAGGGACCGGTGCACTTCACATAAAAGATGGCATCATGAGGAAAGAACATTATGTGGAAATATTGAAGCAACATCTCAAGACATCAGCCAGGAAGTTAAAGCTTGGGCACAAATGGATCCAAATGGACAATGACCCTCAGCATACCACCAAATTAGTTAGAAAGAGGCTTAATGACAACAAAGTCAGTGTTTTGGAGTGGCCATCACAACACCCTGATCTCAGTCATGTAGAAGATTAGTGGGTAGAGCTGAAAAGGCCAACAGACCTGACTCAGTTACCGCAGTTCTGTCAGGAGGAATGGGCCAAAATTCATTAAACTATTGCTTTGGCCAAACAGTTCAATTTAAGTTTCATCAGACCACAGTACATGTCTCCAAAAATTACGGTCTTTGTCCCTGTGCAATTCCAAACTGTTATCTATCATGTTACTTTTGGAGTAATACCTTCTTCCTCTCTGAGTAGCCTTTCAGCCCATGTCGGTACAGGACTGGTTTCACTGTGGATAAAGACACTCTCTTACCAGCTTCAGCAGCATCTTCACAAGGTCTTCGCTTTTGTTCTGGGGTTGATACGCACGTTTCGTATCAACTTAATGTTTTAAAACTCTGCCGGCTTCATGTATACGTAACCAGAGATGGAAACCAAGCTCGGCTTTGAATACAAACTCAAAGATGGAGGCAGGAATGAAAGGAGGTTTACCTTGAGTTGTTCCTCCAGAGTCAAAGGCTCGATCAGCTTCTCACATTCAGGCGTGAGAGCCGAGCTGCTCACAAACAGGAGCGCAAACAGAAAACAAGCTTCGAGCCACAGTTTCATGATCGAACAGCTTCAGACAAAGTCCAGAAATTCACTGAGTCTCTTAGAGCCACTCGGCTTTTATGCAAACTGCTGTAAACTCTGGCCAATGATTGCATTATCACTGTTATGTAAAAGATGCTTCACTGCCAGCGAACCTCAGTGGTGGTTCAAAGGGTCCAAATTAGTCAAACAGCTGCAGAACAACTTCTATTAATGTAAGTTGGCGTATCTGGATTTCGTATTATAATTCTGATTTCAAGTTCTTGGAAATTAAAGCAAACACCCCCACCAGGTCACTGTCACAGAATCTGATTGGACACGACCGGTGCCGTCCTGTCTGCCCCCTCAGCACCACAGTCCCACACAAAACATGGTAAAGGGTAAAGGAAATCTCATTATCAGGTCCTGTCAGTGTGTGATTCAGCCCCTAAAGTCTTTATTTACAGTAAATCTGCCAAATGTGCAAATGTTTTCTTGATTTTAGTGCAACAACCAGCTTCATGGTCTAACATTATTCAAGGTTGTTTGCATGCGAATGTATCAGTGGTAATGATCGTATAGTATAACATGCATTTAGTTACTTTTGCTGCTCTCAGGTCCTTTTCCTGTCAATATTTTTGTAATCTTTTTGGTGTAAACAGTTAGAGGACTTTATAGCCACAGTCACCTTGCCTCCTCCTCCTTTGACATAACATGAGTTTGTTCTCCCCCAGTCGTCCCGTTCCAAGAAAGGCCAGCAACCAGTATGCCAAGTTCAAAATGAGCAGTTTTTGTTTGTTTGGTTTTTTTGTCATGTTCAGAGGGAGACTTGAGCCAACATAATAAACAAAAAATACTCTAAATTAACCCTTGCTTCCTTGAACAAAAGAAAAGGTACATAGATGACAATAATCTTACCTGCCTCCTATGAAAATCAAAACAGGAGAACAGGGGTTAAAAGAAAAAGGGCTTCTCCCTCCTACTACCGCTCTACAATAATGCACAGTTGTTTACATGTTTTCACAAAGTTTACAAAATTCACAAAATCCATACTGCACCGACTATTAACTGCTGAACTACTAAATTACTGCTGCATCCTCCTACAGCACAGACAACAATGGCATGCTGGCGTTTCCTGGTGGTGGCAAGGCTGGAAAGGTGAGGATTCTGATGAGGGACCCACCCCCTGACCAATCACGTGACAGGAATCAGGCGAAGCAGCCAATCAGCGGACACCACCTGCTCCTAATTCACTCATTCACAAACCACAAACCACACACACACACACACACACACACACACACACTCTGAGGAGAGAGAGCAATGCAGCAAAACATACATACACATAATACTACAAATGACCCACATGGTCATAACACCCCTCTACCAAAAGATCAGACATTTACCCCCTAGAGTAAATGTGAGATTCACTGTGATCTGGACAACACATCAGCACTGACGTTTTCTAGTCCTTTCTTATCATGAATCTCAAAATTGAAGTTCTGAACCAATAATGACCAGCGCATAAGGCGTTGGTTACTATTCTGCATCCGGGTCAAAAACACAAGAGGGTTGTGGTCGGAAAACACGACCGTTGACACCGAGCTGGATCCAAGGAACACTTCAAAATGCTGTAAAGCTAACAATTAGGCCAGTGCCTCTTCTTCTATAGTGCTGAAGTGTAACTGGTGCTTTTTAAACTTTTTAGAAAAGTAGCAAATCGGATGATTGATGCCATGCTTATCCTCCTGCAGGAGCACCACACCGGCGCTGAGCGCACTGGTGTCCACCTCCAGTTTGAATGGGTGCACAAAGTTTGGAGCTGCGAGCACAGGAGCGCTGCAGAGAAGAGCTTTGGCAGCTTCAAAGGCCGCTTAACAAAGTTCCGACCGAGCTAAGCTGAGCAACGACGTCAGCGAATTTTTTTAAAAAATGCTTTATAGTAACCAGCCGTCCCCAAAAAACGGCGGAGCTCACGACAGGTTTGGGGAGAAAATCAGCAATGGCTTGAACTTTGTCCATAACAGAGCAAACTTGGTCCTCACTGACTTGTTGACTCAAGTAGGTAACAACTGCCTTACCAAACTCACATTTGGTCAGGTTAAGCATCGGTCATAGATCTCACATCGTGTTTTCACATGTTCGGTCCATGTCGATGAATATGCCACTATATCATCAAGATAGACCTCACAGTTACTGACATTACACAAAACAATATTCATCAGCCGCTGGAAAGTGGCTGGTGCGTTACGCAGCCCAAATGGCATGACTGTGTACTGGAGGGGGTGACGAAGGCGCTGATCTTGGATGCACGTTCAGTCAGTGGGACCTGCCAGTAGCCCTTAAGAAGGTCTAACTTGGTGACGTACTTAGCAGAGCCCACATGATCGACACAGTCATCCATTCGGGGCGGCGGAAATGAGTCTGGTTTTGTGATTGTGTTAAACTTATGATATCCATCCATCCATTGTCTTCCGCTTATCTGGGGTTGGGTTGCGGGGTCAGTAGGTGGAGCAGGTCGTCCCAGACTTCCCTCCCCCCACCGATGCTTTCCAGCTCTGCCTGGGGGATCCCAAAGTGTTCCCAGGTCAGCCAAGAGATGTAATCCCTTCAGGGTCTGCCCCGGGGTCTCCTCCAGGGTGGACGTGTTCAGAAAACCTCCAGAGGAAGCCTCCCCGGAGGCATCCGAATCAGGTGTCCATACCGCCTCAACTGCGCAAAGGAGCAGCATGGCCTCGGACTTGGAGGTACTGATCCACATCCCTGCCGCTTCGCACTCGGCTGCAAACCGCTCTAGTGAGTGCTGAAGGTCACGGTCTGATGAAGCCAACATAACCACGTTGTCTGCAAAAAGCAGAGACGTGATCCTGAGGTCCCCAAACCGGACACCCTCCTCACCCGGACTGCGCACCCCAGCTATAAGTAGCTGTGGTCTTACAGCAATTTTAAATTTGCCTGACACAAAACGAGACCTAAGATTCACAAAATGCAAACATGCGCGCACCACACTCATCTTAACTCCCTGCACTAAAACGTCTAAGTCACATAAGACTCAGTTGGAAACGGGAGAATATCACCGCAAATAAGCGATTGTGTTGCTCCAGTATCCCGCAAGATAGTGACAGACAAGCTCTTCATTTCCCATCAGTGAAACAGAACCATCAGAAATAAATGTTGTGAAATCAGCATCAATTTGTCCTTGTTTCAGTTCTGCCAAACTCAGTTTAGTTTGAATTAAACCAATTGGTTTAACTGGCAAAAAGGCAAGGTCGAAGGCAGAGAACAAGGTCACACACAAAACAGACTATGACTTGACTATGATAAACGCTGGCACGAGGACCGTGAAGTGCAACGAACTGGCAACGAGACTGTGAGACACGCAGGATAAAATACAAGAGGAAATGAGGGAGGATGGGAAACAGGTGTAGGATATGGACAGACACAGATGCTCAAAAGGATTCA